CCCACCCCCTACCACCACCCAAAACACATGATCTTAAAGTGTATGAACAATTCCCAATTTCATGTAATTTAAATATTTTATCAAAGGTATAAATCTCTGTGAACATGAAATGGAGTGAATGAGAATAAAAAATGAAATTACCACATGTAAACTATTTTACACATTTCATGAAACAATGAAAAGCCAATGATAAACATCCGAACCAAATTTTCTTACATTAAACTTTTCTTCTGAGTTATACTATAGTGCAGGTATCACAGGTTTTCTCAACCATGGCTATATATTAGAAATATCTGAGAGCTTTACCAAAAAAAAAAAAAAGCAATGCCAAAGCACCATCCTTGGTTAATTAAATCAGACTAATCAGACTATTTAGGAATGGGACCTGGGCCTTAACATTGTTTCAAAATTCTGTGTTATTTTAATATGCAGTCATGGTGGCTTTCATACTAATGTTGAAAATGCCAGTGATTTTTGTTTGATAATTGATTATATTTCCTTAGTTGAAACCTTACATTTACATGAAAAAAATATATGTTTGTGTAGATTTTTAGTAGCATTATTATAAGTTTTTGCTTTGGTTGTTCTTTTGTTTGAATTTAACTTGAATGTTTAACTTTTTTTTATTCTCTAAAATTCTAAATATGGTCTCCACTTTATTTCAATTTCACTCCTAATCTTGATCACCATTCATATTCTTCTAGTATTTATTTTTTGCCTTTTATATCAAACCACCTTGTAACTTCACTGAAATTCTGACAGTTGTTTCAATCCATAAATACACAGTATTATACACAATAAAATAGATTTATGTACAAAGTTCATATACCTTTTTTTGTACTGGAAAACTTTGCTAAACTATAATGAAATATAAAGAAGGCAGGGACTTATTTCTGTTTTCTTTATTGATTATCCCCAGTGTCTAGAACAATGCCTGCCACATAGTAGGTTCTCAATAAATATTTTTTGAAAGAGTGAGGGAAGAAAAAGTAATTTCCTTAATATTTTCTTGGATGTTGAAATAGATGAAAGTGATATACAAACTTCTCAGAATATTATTATAATTCATGCTTAGGTATGTAAAGAAAAATATCATTCAGCCTTAGCTAATAAATGTGGCATTCCTAAAATTAATTATCAGGAAGAGAACATATAAATTTGAACAATGATTATCATTGAGAATGAAGACTCATCTCATGAACAACTTCATACTTTCAATTCTGTTTTACAAGAGGGTATAAAGTTTTGAAGGATGGGTATTGTTAGTTGCATTCTATAGGGGCTGGAAAGATTAATAGACAATGTAAGATGAGTTACCTAGGTAAAGCCACATACTGCTCCTTGCTAGAGTCAACTGAAAAAAAACCTTGATGTTTTCTCCTATCACTCACTTTGAGAATAAGGACTGTGCCAGGCCCTCCCAATATTTCTTACAATATATTGGAGTTAGAATTAAAATTATAGCTGAGGGAGAAGCTGGGATTTATTTGGGGACGATGTTTAGCCATTTTAAAATCAAACCTATAAATAAAAAAAGAACTAAAACAGGCTTTGTGATCAAACAGATCTAGTTTAAACTCTATCCAGCTCTCCCCTATAAAATACATATAACTTTGAGCATGTTACTTAACTACTATAAAATGAGGCTAATAATGCTTAACTTCACAGGTTTTTTTATAATGTTTAAATGAAAAAAATATTATATATGAAAGCAGCGCTCACAACCAGTTAGCACATAACACATGCTTAATAAAGACTCATTTCCTTCCTGTGCTTTATAAGCTGTGCCTAGCAGTTAGAACCCCAGCTCTGCCTCAGCATAGCTATACAGCTGGAATCCCAGTTTTAGCCATTATTTACCTAAAACGCCAAGACTAATCATTTAGTTTCTCAGGAGTAAAATAATGAGGGGGAACAAAGTAAAATTGTTAGATTAAATTGATTGATAGAAGCTCTAATAATAAATTCAGTAAAACACTCTTTATGCTCTCTCTAGATGAAGCTTGCTAATGCTTCCACTTAAAACTATTTTTATGCCTTCCGGAAAGTAATTTTCATTGTTTGAGTTTCATTAAATTCAGAATTTGGAAGTCATGTTCATTTTATCCCTGAAATATGAAAAGTGTTCACAAGTATAATTTTGAACACTGAAGAAGAAACATGTCTAAATTTCCTTCTAGTTCTCTTTCTCCTCCTCCTGCGTCTCCTTCTTGTCTTACTACATTCCTTGATGACTTAAACACAGTTAGCAATTTCTTGGGTAACCCAGGTGTGAGTGATACATTCTAAAATCTAAAGAACGGATTCCTTGCCTTTTCAATAGAAATTTGAAATGGCTTATTAAGATAAGATAAATAAACCTCAAATAGTTATAAGCCATTTAAACTTCTCTGTTTTACATCAGTGCCATATGATTCTAAATATTTTTTAATTATTAGCCACATTAAAAAATGTATTCAGAATGTTGTCTGTCAACTTTACTATATGTTTATTATTAATTTTGTTTCCAGTCAAATCAAGACCTAAACATTTTTCAGTAGTAGGTAAAAGAGAGGCTGGTTTAATGACCCCTATGTTCTTCCTCAGCTTTGTAACTTTCTATCATGTTCACCAAACAAATTTCATTAAGTTTCCTGAATGCATAGCTCTAGGAAAATGGCCATATTCCAAAGTATAGACATGGAATATATTTGTATATGACCAAAATAATCAGGTCTATTTTGATCCTCATACCGGGAGTTCACTTTATAAATCAAACAAGCTAACTCTGAGTCATATATATTTTGTCTATATTTATGACAAATTGTTGAAGTGCTGTAATGAACCTGACTTGGAATGAGAACCCATTTTAGACAGATGAGGTTGCATTAAATGGAAACAGTGCTCTACACCTGAAACCATAAACCTAATTCCACTAATACAGGCTACAAGAGTCTCCCGATAGACACATAGGCAAAGAGAGAAATGGTGTAACACGGAGGAAAAGCATGAATCAGGTGGCCACTGAGATGATGCTTCAAAGCCTGTGGGCATTGTTAGTTACGGGAGAGAAGAGGATTGTCTGTCAAGTTTCCAGTGTATTGCACTTGGTGTATTAAACTTGCGGCAGCACAAATCCTGACTTATGCCTCTCATGGCGAGAACTTGACCCGTTCATCTATAGGCAGGCTTAACATAGCTCTATTCAGAGGTGATAAAGTAAGATACAGGCAGCATTAGTGCACACAACCCCTAAAAACAGTAAAATTTATTAAGAATTACTTCCTACATTATAAAAATGTCCCAAAATTGTCTCTATATTTATCGGAAATCAAAGTTTTAGCTTTAGTTGTCTTAGACAAGTTTTTATGCCTCTAATAAGGCCCGGCCCTTCTGCTCTGCTTTTGTGCTGTTGCAACAGGTTGTTAAAAATATTTGTAAAATCAATAAGAGCATTTAATAAAAATAATAAATCAGCAAGATAAATCTTAGAAGAGGAAGGTTATTTTCCAGAACATTAAGAAAATAGTAACATGTAACATCTGTTTGAAAAACATTAAGAACATTAATGTTTTTGTATTGAAAACATTAAGAAAATAGTAACATGTAACATCTGCTTTAAACAAATTTTCTCCTATTATTTAAAGGCTATCTTAATAAAAATTTGTGGATATTAAAACAAAATATTTCAAGAAGATTTACAAACCACTCACTAGAAAGTAGGTTTTGCTTGTGACCAGCCAAACAGAGAGTGTGTATCATAATGATATCCCAGATAAGTCTTGGAATTGGGACATAATGTTTTTTCAGCCAAAAGTCCTCCTGAGATATCTAAAAATGAAATAAGATAAAAATATGCATTCTTAATATAATTTAAATATCCTTATTGTATTTTACTTGTCTGTTTACATATTGATCACCCTTACTAGTATATGAGCTTCTTGAAACATTGAATATTTTTCAATTGGTGACAACAGTAGTACAATAACATGACAAAATTTTTTTAATTGTATCTTGAATGTATGAGATATAGTTGGCTATCAGTATCAAGGCTAAGGTGGATTTGTCTCAGAAATACAAAGTTAGTTTAACTTTAGAAAATAAACATAATTTATGTATTAACATATTTAAAAAGAAGCATATGATCTTCTCAACAGATGTTTTAAAAGTGTTTAATAAAATTCCACTTCACATATGACAAAATCTCTCAATGAAATAGCAATAAAATAAAATTTCCTTAACCCTGTAAAGATTATCTACAAAAATACCTATAGCCAAATTCATGTACATAATTGTCAAATATTAAAAACATTTCATTGAGATTGGAAAAAAGATGAGTGCCTGCTATTACCAATTCTGTTTAATCCTGTACTGGAGTTCTTATCCAGTGCAAGAAGGCAAGGAAAAATAAGTCAAAGGTGATAGGATTAGAATAGAAATATCAATTCTATATGAATGTCTACATAGAACAAAAATCCTAAAGAAACAACAGATAAATTATGAGAATTAATCTTGCAGTATAGTACATTTTCTGGATTAAAAAAATCAGTAAACAAAACACAACCAGTTACAGTTTATAAGTCAGCAACAAATACAAAGTGAAATAATTAAAAAGAGGCATTTAAAATAGTATCAAAAATAGAAACCTAGAAATAGGATTAACAAAATAAGTCTAAAATTTCATAAAAATGTAAAATTTTATGAAAAGTAATTTTAAAAGACAAATAAGTGGTGGAGGGGAAGTATACTTATCCCATTGGAAATTCTGTATTTTAAAGATGTCAGTTCTTTCCAAATTGATTTATGGATTTAAAGTACAATAGCCAAAAACACTCTTGAAGAAGGCCAAGGTAAAAAGATCTACTTCCCATGTTACTTCAAGGCTCATTATAAATCAGAAGAAATTAAGACAGTGTCAAATTGGTGAAGTGAAAGAAAAACAAATGGAACAGAAATTAGTCTAAAAGCGACAACTACATTATATATGAATATCTACCATAAGAAAAAGTAAGTATACTTAAATATAAGACCTGAGATCATAAAACTCATAGAAGAAGATATAGGGTCCAAATTTGCAGACATTACCCTGAGCAATATTTTTACTGATACATCCCCGCGGGCTAGGGAAGTAAAAGAAAAAATGAACATATGGGACTACATCAAACTTAAAAGTTTTTTCACAACAAAAGAAACCATCAATAAAACAAAAAGGAAGCCTACTGAATGGGAGAAGATATTTGTTAACGATATATCTGATAAGGGATTAATATCCCAAATATATAAAATGCTCATGAAACTCAACACCAAAAAAACAAACAACCCAATTAAAAAGTGGGCAGAGGATATGAAGAGACATTTCTCCAAAGAGGACATACAGATGGCCGACAGGCATATGAAAAAATGTTCAACATCACTTAGCATTAGGGAAATGCAAATAAAAACCACAATGAGATACTACCTCACCCCGGTCAGAATGGCTATCATCAATAAATCAACAAACAACAAATGCTGGCGAGGCTGTGGTGAAAAGGGAACCCTGGTGCACTGCTGGTGGGACTGCAGGCTGGTGCAGGTGCAGCCACTATGGAAATCAGTATGGAGGTACCTCAAAAATCTGAAAATGGAACTACTTTATGACCCAGCAATACCACTCTTAGGTATTTATCCAAAAAATCCCAAGACATTAATCCAAAAATATATATGTACTCCTATGTTCATTGCAGCGTTATTCACAATAGCTAAGACTTGGAAACAACCAAAATGCCCATCGGTAGATGACTGGATTAAGAAACTTTGGTACATTTACACAATGGAGTATTACACAGCTATAAAGAAGAAGGAAATAGTACCTTTTGCAACAATATGGATGGAACTAGAGAACATTATGCTAAGTGAAATAAGTCAGTCAAAAAAGACAAATATCATATGATCTCACTTATACGTGGATTCTAAGGAACTGAATGGATGGGAGAGGTGGATGGAGATAATCTCAGAGACACAGAGGAAGAACTGAGGGTTGTTAGTTGGGAGGGGGTGGGGATGAAGGAGAAGGGGAAGGGATTAGACAATACAATATGGTAAGTGCAATATGGCCTCAGGAATAGGAAAAGACAGTCTGAGGAATATAATCAGTAATGTTGTAAATATTTCTTAGGGGGCCAGATGGACTCATGTCCTGTTGGGGAGACCACTTCATAGTCAGTGAAGAGGCCTGACCACCGCACTGTATTTCTGAAAATGATGTTGAAAAAGATTGTATGTCAACTATAATTATATATACATTTAGTCTCGGGACATGGAATAGAGAGGGGGATTGGAATCAATGGAATTGTAATAGATAAGCATGATATCGGGGGTGGGAGGGCAATACATGGGGGTAGGGGGGTTGTTACTTTGTGAGGGTGAAAAGGATAACTATTGCATTGTTCTGTACACCTGAAACTAACAATAAAAAAAAAAGATCATAAAAAAAAAAGAAAGAAAAAGTAAGTATTACAGATCAGTGGAGGAAAAAATAGCCTTTTCATTGGTTCTGGGAAAATTCTTTCTCCATATTAAAAAAAAAATGAAGTTAGACTGTTCTCTCACACTGCTCAAAATCAACTGCAAGTAGTTTATAAAATATAAAAATATTTTATTTTTATAGACTCAGTATATCTTTACGACTTCAGGTTCAAAAGTATTTCTTAAGTTACAAATTGATAAATAAAAGAGTTGATAGGGCCGACCGAGTTGCTCAGTTGGTTAAGAGTGCAAGATCTGAGTAACAGGGTCGTCAGTTCGACTCCCGCATGGGCCAGTGAGCTGCGCTGCCAACAGGTGGCAGGATGGCTCAGCTGGTGAGAGCACGTGCTTCTTAGCAACAAGATTTCTGGTTGACTCATGCATGGGATGGTGGGCTATGCCCACCCACAACTAAGATTGAACATGGCACCTTGAGCTCAGGGGCCACAGCTGCTGTCGGGCAGCCGGATGGCGACTGGACTTGGAGCTGAGCTAGCTACTCCCTCCACAACTAACCACAACTAAGACTGAAGGACAACAACTTGGCTGTTCCCCTTCCCCAACACTGTTCTCCTCCTCCAATTCCCCAATAAAATCTTTAAAAAAAGAAAAGAAAAGAATTGATAAATTTGATAGCAGTTTAGCTAGGAACTTGTGTTCAACAAAAAAAACTAAAAAAGGAGCGAAAAGATAAGCCAGGAATTACGAGAGATATTTATAACACAACTGAAAAATCAGTGTGATAAAGCTAAATGGCTCAGTAGAAAAATGGGAAAAACCATTGAACAGTTCCATAAAACCTGAAAAGTCAATGAAGTGGAAAAATGCTTCATTTCATTTATAAGCATAAGCATGCAAATTAAATACATAATGAACTGACATTTCATACTCACCAGATTAACAAAAATTAAGATGACTGAACAACTTGTTCTGTTTCGCTGTGAAGCTCTGGCCAATTCAGTACAATGCCATCTTATATTTGCTTTCCTTCTTCCCCTAACTCATTTTGCTTTCCCCCCCCCTTACTTTTCCTGTCTTGGGATTGCTTCCCTTTTTTCTCCATCCCCTCCTCCCCCAACTTTCAAAAAAAACCCACCTTTACCAGAAAGTTTTGCCTCAGGCTCTGTTTTCTAGGGAATCTGGGCTAGGACATCCTCTGCCACTTTTTAAAGTAATGGCATAAGACTGAATGAATTCCCTTTCATTTTTTTTTTTTATTGGAGAATTGCGGGGTGGGAACAGTGCTGGGTAATTGGGGAAGGGGAACAGACAAGTTGCTGTCGTTTTTTGTTCTTCAGTCTAGTTGTGGAGGACATTGCTTCACTGGCCCAAGTTGGCACCATCATTGCGCTCTTCCCGGGCGAGGCAGATCAGTCGCAGGCTTCTGGACGGCCGCTCACTGCGGCTGCTGGCCGCTCACACTGGCTGCTGGCTACACACGGTAGCCCATGGCAACCCACTGCCACAGGGACTGCAGCCTACGCCATCGCTGGTGACTCACTGGCAGCTCAGCTCCAGGTTGAGCTGTTGTTCAGCATCTTAGCTGTAGAGGGCAGCGTCACTGGCCCTCATATGTGGGATCCGAACAGGGCCCCTCTGGCATCCCAAGCCAGTTCTTAACCATCGTGCCACTCGGCCGGCCCCCTTTCATTTTTTTATTGCTATGGAGAAAATGTTGTTTTTACAATTTTTCCCTACTTCATTAATATCTGAAATTCTGGGTGTGGCTTCATTTCTCCATCATCACCGAGAAGTCTCTGATTGTATTTGACTTTATGTAGACTAGGCTGTGAGCGTCTTAGGGACAGCTGTCAGGTTTGTATGCCTAGGCCCTTGGACACACAGAGTAGATAGTGCGTGTCTAGCATCTTGTTCTTTGTATAACAGAGAACAAAAGCTACTTCATCAAGAGTATAAAGAATTTTCACACAGAACACAACTAGGAAATTATCTCCTGTTTCTGCAAAAAATTGAAGAGGAAATAGGTCTAAAGTACAGAAAGTTTAGTTTATATATAAGAGGGGGGGAGAGAAGCCAAACCAGATAATCACTCTCTTCCTGAATATTTTTAAATATAGAAAAGGCTTCACAATTCTATAAAAAAAACTTGAGCATTGTCATAGGTAAGAAGGGGAAATACAATGCACCACTAACATTCGCTAGCTGCTGTAAGAGTCCTGACCTCTTCACATACACAGAAGGGCATAAGTGATACCTTTTGATAGCAGAAACTCAGGCTTTCTGGAAGGATCAGGACACGAAGGGATTCTTCTCTCAAAGTAACTCAGTGTTAAAACAAATAACACAGAGTCAAAGTTGAGTTTTTT